TTTTCCATCCACCTGTGCGGCGGAGTTTTTCCTTCACGATTCTTCTTTTTTTGTCCTTTTTATGCTCTTTTCCCCTTCTCCCTTTTTCTTTTTTTCTTTTCTTTTTTCTTTTTTCTTTTTTCTTTTTCTTCTTCTGTTCTTTTCCTTTTTCCGTTCTCTTCTTTGTCCTTTTTCCTTCCTTCTTCCTGTTTTCGTTTTCCTTCGTTCTTTTTTCTTTTTTCTTTTTCCTTTTTTCTTTTTCCTTTTTGCTTCCTTTTCTTTTTTTTTTTTCTTTTTTCTTCTTTTTTCCTTTTCTTCTTTCTTTTTTGTTTTTTTGTTTTTTTCTTTTGTCTTTTCCTTTTTTCTTGTCATTTTTTCTTTTTTTCTCCTTTCTGTTCGTTAAGAATTAAGGCATTGCTCCGTAGGAACTCCCGTATGCTATACCAAGTCCATTTCCCGTACCCTGTAGAACAGGCCTCCCTTGGAAGCAGGAGCGGGCGCCTGGGGCTTGGAGAGCAGCTCGCTCTCGGGCCGATGCAGGGGCCTCCGACCGACGTAACCGATGCGGACCCGTTTCATCTGGGGGGATTCATCCCTTGTCCCTTGAAGCCCCACCACTTCCTTAGTTACTGTTCCCCCTCTTTTTTTTCGCCTTTTTTTCGCCTTTTTCCTTTTTCCTTTTTCCTTTTTTTCTTTTTTTCTTTTTTTTTGTCTGTCTTTTCCGTAGTCGTCCCTTTCAAATTCAGCCGACGGATTGAAGCACTAAACGAATGGACGGTGCGGGAAGCATTCATAGGAAGCGTACTATAGGGGGTAGGGGCGGGGACTATATTAGGACTTGACACTCGGGTTACTATTCATCGGTGCGCCAAGCGTTTAGTGACTCTGACAGCGGGAGAAACTTGAGGCGGACCGGTGCTGCGAGAGCTTCGTGGGACGAGATACGACATGGACTTCTTCGCTGATTGGGACCAGGAGGAGGAACAGCGTGAGGAAGAGGAAGTGGTAACACTCCCGGCGTGAGAACCCTCCATTTTGCCTCCCGGGCCTATCATTAGCATTGCGATATGCAGAGCGTCGACACTTGCCCCGCTGCGACCACTGGACCCTGCCATTGCGTTTTCTCGCCTACGCTTAAGGCATACCTGGCTCTGTTGCTCCTTTTTGCCTTGCTGCCTAACCTAGCCATAGCTGGCCTGCTCCTCGCCGCATGCCTCTCGGAGAAGGTGCTTCTACGAGCTTCGGCCAAGTGTTTTGCGACGCTCATCGCTGGCACTATTTGCTTCGCTGCTCTTCTTCTTGCGGGCTGCTGTTGCCTTTTTGCTGCTGCCAACTGGCTGATCGACGCAGGAGGCTAGCGCGCGTAGTGCATGATGGAGTCCAAGATGGCCCCTTCCGAGTGAATTCTGCCCCCCTTGCCCCTCCCTTTCCCCTCCTCCGAACTTCACCCCCCCTTCCAATCCTGCATTCTCTCATCGTTACGCCCCCCCGCGCCCTCCCTCGACCCCCCCGCCTTCCAAAGATCATGGAAGATGTCCTCCCTCTGATGATGCCCCAAATGGCATGGGGTAGAAAAGCGCTTTAGGGATTTGCCATGCCCTTCCTGCAAGATTCGGCGTGATGGTCCGTGCGGATGCAGGAGCACATTGGACCTGGAGGACAGAGCTGAAGCAGGATCTTCTTCCATCCTCTTCTCTTCTTTTCTCAACCTCTCTTCCCCCCTCTCCCTTCCCCTTTGTCATCACTTCCAACCCTTTCCTTCTTCTGTTAGGCGCTGGCACAGTTACCTTTACGGTTTTTGGCAACGGGGTGAAACATGGTTTGTTGCTTTTCGGAGCTATAATTGCATCTTTTTTCAAAAGATTTCTTGATATTGGTCCCTGTATGGTTAATGGCGTTGTCTTCTGGCTCTCTCTTCACCCTCCCCCGCTTCTTCTTTTCTTACGAATGATCTATCTGGTCTGTCGCATTCTCTTTTACGAGAGAGGTTTTCGAATCCATATCCTTGTCTGAATGATTGTGAGGTCTATCTGATCTCTCCCTTCCTTTCTTTTCTTTTCTTTTCTTTCCTTTCTTTTCTTTTCTTTTCTTTCCTTTACCTCTCGCCACATGCGTGCCCTTTTCAGAGCTATAATCGCATCTTTTTTTCGAAAGGTTTCTTGATATTTGTCCCTGTCTGGCTAACGGCGTTGTCTTTTGGCTCTCTCTTCACCTTCCCCTGCTTCTTTCTTATGAGTGATCTATCTGGTCTGTCACATTCTTTTTTACGTGAAAGGTTTTTGAATCCATTTCCTTGTCTGAATGATTGTGAGGTTTGTTGCTTTTCGAAACTATAATTGCATCCTTTTTCATTACCTCTCGCCATATGTGTACCCTTTTCTGGTCAGAACTTGGATCGAGTTCCTTTTTCCCTGTTCCTTTCTCCCATGAATGCCTACCTCTCCTGTCAGAACTTGGGTCGGGATCTTCTCGCTGTTTATTGCTTCTTACGGCTATGGAGGCGGATGAATTTTCTTCTTCTGTAGATGGTTATTTTCACTATCATAAAATTTGCATCGAAATCTGTTCTCGGTCGGATTATCTCTTATGGCTGATCGATTAAAAGTCCTGATGGAATGGGATGCATGAATGCTGCTTATCTGGTTTCGCCTCAAAAAATAGGCTTCTGCCACCCGCAACCCTTCGTCCTGTCTGGTTTTTGCATACTTATATTCGGATGGCAAAACAGCCCTTCTCACCCTCACCGCGAATGGGCGTACGATAAAAGGTCTTACCCCGTCACGTTTGGTAATCACCTCCGCGCCTTGCACCTTGCCCACAGTGTGCCGACGAGTTGGGTCGGAGTAGGTGCGAGTATGACCTGTCGTACTCGTGCAGAACTCATGTGACACACACATGCAACACACACACACACACACACACACACACACACACACACACACACGCACATGCACACGCACACGCACACACACACGCACACACACACCCACACACACACGCACACACACACACGGCGTGGAAGGCTTTCCCAGTTTTTTCGGACCCTTAGCAGGGGGGGTCGATGCGTTTTTGCTGGAGTCTTCTTTCTTAGGTAAGTTGAATCTTATCTTCTTCCTCCTATTTGGCAGTGGCGTGAGTGTGTAGTTTGAGATGAATGTCGGGAATGCCAATGCTGTTATATTTGATTGTATTTGGTAAATGAGTTTTTGGTTTTGTGGGCCGATGCGGAAGGCTCTCCAAGTTTTTTCGGACCTTTGAGGGGGTCGGGTTGGTGCCTTCTTGCTGGAGTAGTCTTTTGTCTTAGGTAAGTTGCCTTCTGCCCTCCATCCCCTAATGGTTTGAAATATATATGTATACATTTGTATATGTTCAAGTGTGCCGCTTGGCGGCAGACGGGTGTGTGGGCACTTGGCGCTGAACTACACAAACGTGTCCAACCTTGCATTTTCTATTATATTGCCTATCTATACTTTTTCCTTATGGATGGCTTGTGGTGATTTGTGTAGGGAATGAGAGAGAGAATCTGGGGTCTTTTAAAACAACACACATACACACACACACACACACACACACACACACAAACAAACAAGTAAACGAACAAATCATATTCTCATTATTATCTAGAACTTCTCTTCTTTTCTTCTTCTCGTTCTAAGTTTTTTCTCTCTTGTCCACTTTATGCTTTCTCTGGTCTTTCCCTGTGCTTCTCGTCTGTCTAAATAGCTACCTTTAAGATCTGCGAAGTAGTCAGTGCCTCTTTGTACAGAGTGCGTCCAACTATCAGGGGGGCTGATGTGTTTGGGATGCGTGTGTGTGTGTGTGTTCCCTGGATGATGACAGATCGAAGTGATTCACTGGCTTCGATGGTGGTATGACCTAAGTCTTTAGGGTTCTACTTGGGCGCGAGTAGGTGATGATCTTCTTCGGTCCGTGCTGCATGAGTGGACTGTCTTGTCGTTGCTGCCTTGCTGCCTGGCTGCCCTTCTACTTGCCTCGTGTTGTTGCCTTATTGCCGCTGCCCCACTACTCAATTGCCCTTCTGCTTGCCCTGTGTGTTGCCTCTCTGCTGAGCTGCCTGTCCGCTTTACCCCTCCCTGTGCCTTGCTGCTTTGTTACCTTGCTGCCTTGCTGTCTTGTTGCCTCATTGCCTCATTGCCTCATTGCCTCATTGCCTCGTTGCCTCGTTGCCTCGTTGCCTTGCTGCCTTGCTGCCTTGCTGCTCATCTTGCTGTGCTGCTTCTTTCCAATGGCTTGTTGCCTCAGTGCCTCTCTGCGTCACTGCCTTCCTGCTGCACTACCTTGCTGTAGCAGTTTCATTAAACGTCAACCAATGGAGGCTGGGAGGGAATCCCTCCACATCTCAACCTGGAAGACCTGGGGCCATTACCCAGTTTAGGCTTTTGCTGGAAACCGGGTCCGGCGGCCCACATTCTGCTACCTTCCCAAAAAACAGCAGTGAGTTTCATTTTGAAGGGGAGGGGGGATTGTTTGCATCAAAGTCCTCCTGTTGGAGGAGAGAAGGTCTTGAAGGAGAGAGGGCATTGGAGTACTTTTTGAAGGCGAGAGAGGGCATTGAAGTCCTTTTTCTGACAGAGGGAACTGGTGTCCTTTTGAAGGAGGTCCTTTTCAAGGATAGCGGCCATTGGTCTCCTTTTGGAGGAGGGAGGGTGTTGAACTCCTTTTTCTTTAAGGAGAGGGCGTCGGAGTCCTTTTGAGGGGGAGAGGGGCATTGTAAGTCCTTGCAAGACTTTATTTTGTTGAGCGAACAAGTGTCAAAGGCATGCAGGGGGCGCATTAACTAAATGAATTGCAGCGATTTCTAACTTTGCAGTTCGGGCTTCATGAGTAAGGGCATACTCACACTACCGGTAGGACTTTCTTGGCTGAATCTTACAGTCATTTGGGGCAGATACGTCCAGATAAAGTCTTGGCAAGTCTGGTTGTGAGTATGTGCTTAGTAGAGTATGTTCGTGTCCGAATCTGCGGGTGCCAGAGAGTTTGATGTAACTGTGGTTTTGCAGGCTGGGACGACTCCAAGACAGCAATGCTGTTCTTTCGTATTTCAATGACTTCTCGGCTCGGAGCTTTTCTGTTGTCGCTAGCGACTTTGGAAAGAATACAAAAATTTTGAGAGGCATGCGGGGCGATCTGGATTACATCTTCAAGAAAATCAGGTCTGTTCTCTTCTCCTTTCCCTCATCAGAAGTCTTAACTCTCTGTTCCTCTCGTGGGGCTGAATTGTAACACAGATGTAATTGTTCATAACCAGATGATGAGATTGAATCCTGCTGGATTCATTCAATAAGCTTTGGGGCAGGCATCTTACTCCTTCAGAACAGAAAAAAGGAAGTCTTAACTCCGCTTCTCCTCTGCTCATTTTCCCCATTCCCCTCGTTCGACTCTCACTCCTGCTTACACCTGCATGTCTGCATTCATATGCTGTTCATTTCGATACTTCTCTCTCCTTCTCCTCCTCCTCCTCCGGCAGCTTCTACTGCTTTACTTCGAATGTGTTGGTGTTCTTGCATCGAACCTCACATTGTGTCTCCTTTTTGTCTATCCCAGCCTTTTCCCAGGCCTTGCTCACCAGCAAGTGGTCCCCTTTTCGAAATTGCCTCTCTTTGGAAGTTAGCTCTTTTGCGGTTCTCCATTTTGAAGTTCCTGCCTTGTGCAATTCTCCCTCTTTTGAAATTACCTCTTTTTTTTTCTTTTTTTTTTCTCGAAACAGGACCTTATGGGCCTGGCTCCTTTTCCATTCTGGGGAGCATCAGTCCGGTTCCTATTCCACCGGCAAGTCAGAACAAGGATACAACGTAATTACATACCCACGCTTCCTTCCGTGCGGCCGAAGGACCCCTGACCAGCATTGATTGCTCCATCTATATGGAGGATTGACTGTCAGCTTGCCTTGCTATACCCTTTCTCTCAGGTCTGTTATAGAGACCTGCCGTATAAAACCTGGCTACCAAGAAAGGATCTAGCTCCTTCAAAACCCCGATCCACCCCTCAGCAAAATCTGAACCCCCTTATGTTCTGGCGAGCTGCCTGCCCCCTGTGGACCTTTGCTATACTCCGTCCTAGCAGGCCCCATCTTCGGTCTGTATCCATTGACTCGGGCCTTATATTCTAAACCCTTTGTTGGCTCCTTATCAGCTGTTTAGACGCCTTGAACCCTAAACCCTCCCCCATGTGTCGTAGTGGTATCCTCATCCTTCTGCCCACCTCTTTCATTCCAGATGTTCCTTAGCATACCTATCTTCATTTCTTCTCCTTGTGTCCCCTTCTGTGTCCTGTACTGCTGTAGCTGGGTACTTTTACCCAATGCTCATGCCCGAGAATCTTCATCAGACCCTTGCACCTCACCAGATGTACCTGTTTTTGTTTGGCTCAAATGCATCACCGTTGCTGCCACCTTCTGTGTTCACCTGCCTGTCTTCTGGGTTATGTCAGACCTTCCAGTGTAATCGTTTGCCCCGTAGTTTGGCTCCTTCCTGTCCTTCATCCGATATGTGTAGAGTTTTGTTCTGATGTAACATCTGTCCCCTACCCTTAGTCAGCAGTTGCAGCTCTTGAACTAATTTAGCAACGTCTGTGACTGACTCAGGTCCTTATCTCTCAACCCCAATCTTAATCTCCCCTACCTCTCCTCTTGGTTCCCCTGTCTTCATCTCAGCTGTGTAACTGATGCAGGCACAGTCTGAATTCTCCTGCTTGACTCTGAATTGTGCCCGTCTTTCCAGCAAATTCGGTCATTCCTTAATTCTGCCACCTTGTCGTCCACTAGCCACATCCTGGAGAACTTTTTCTTAGCCTTTTCTCGTAGGTCAGTGTCATCAGGCATGGACTGTTTTAGCTTCTGCCACCTGCAAAGAATTTCAGCCTGTATCATTGTTTTCGTTTCTGCCCATACCTTCTCTCTTGAGTTGGATAGCCCTTCAATGGTTCTGCAGCATCTCTCTTTCCAGATGACCGATAGTGTCACCTTCCTGATTAAGCCGAACCATAACCGTTCCGCCTTCTTGAGCTGGTCAGGGATGTTAGTCCAGAGAAGGATTTGGATGAGATGTTCGGGGAAGGGGGCATGAAAGAGGGAATCCCAGAGAGATGTGGCCCGTGCCCAGTAGTCTGTTACCTCGATGCAGTGAATAAGACAGTGTATCACATCCTCTTGCGCCCCTTCAGTACAAACTGAACATAGGTCCGAGCTGGTGGGGTCGTTTCTGTGACGTCGTTTGTGAAGCCATTGGTTCACTGGGAGCGCAGCGTATGTGATAAGCCACTGCAGGCTTCTGATTTTAATCGGTCTGATGGTTATAAACTTCTTCCACGGAATCTGTGTTAGTTTGTCAGCTTCCTGGCCCAGTAGTTTCTGCCATCTGGTTTTGATTATGGGATCTGGGTTGAAATTACCTCTTTTTAAGTTCTCCCTGTTTTGAAATTACCCCATTGAAGTTCTCCCTCTTTTGAAATTACCCCTTTTCAGTTCTCCCTCTTTTGAAATTACCCCTTTTAAGTTCTCCCTCTTTTGAAATTACCCCTTGGACCCTTGTGACATTCTCCATTGTGAAGTGGAGGAGGGTGATGCATGTGTGGTATTGCTCAGTATGGCCCCCTTTCTCCAATATTGCGGTACTGCACGTGAAGTTCTCCCCCTTTTGAAACCTCATTAATATGCGCAGGGTAGAGTAGGAAAACACAACGCCTGTGAGTTTAAACGTTAAACTGTAAAGTGCAAATCCACACTGTTACCTAGCAATTAAACAAAGGAAACAACTTTCTTAAAGTTTCTTTTCAATTATATAATCAGTCCCGTGCGTCGGTTTAGAAGAGAAGCATTAAAAATAAGTGTGGCCCAAAAACTGAGTGCACTGGGACCTTTTTAATTCTTCCCTTTTTGGATTGTGGAAGCCTGAAAGTCTAAGTTGAGAGTCTACTTCACAGAATCTATTATCTAGCAATGATATCAAGTTAGACCGGCAGGCCTCAATGCCATAACATTCTTACCAACCCGCCGTTCCAAATTCAGCGTCGTTCCGGCAGGTGCAGGTATGTAGAAGCCATCGGGTATGTAGAAACATTTTTGCAGAGCATAATAATAATACATCGTAGGGGAAGAACAGCGGAACGTACCATGTTCAATGCTCTCTGGGGAAATATAATTGTTCAAGTAAAAAAAAAAAAAAAAAAACAGAAACGAATGGGTGGTGTGTGCCATTGGACATGTGGAATGCGAGCGAGCCACATACCTATCGCTCGCTCTCTCACTCTCTTTTGAGGGAAGGTGTGTTCCCTTCATATCTTTTCTTCTTCTTCTTCTTCTTCTTCTTCCTCCTCCGCTCTTTCTCTCCGCCCTTCCCTCCCGCCCCCTGGCATTGCATTGCACACTGCACCCGAATGTGGCGTAGTGGGCTGTGCTGGAATGTGGCACCACCCCACGGATGCACAGAGAGAGAGAGAGAGAGAGAGAGAGAGAGAGAGAGAGAGAGAGAGAGAGAGAGAGAGAGAGAGAGAGAGAGAGAGAGGACAATAAGGAAAAGTTGGACAAAGGAAGGAAGAAGAAGGAAAACTACGGAGGTAAACTGTTTCATTCTTGGAATGGCTCATCTTGAGTGTGCTTCATTCCGCAGTAGAAGGTCACACACTGCATGGATTTCGGATCCACTCATCTGGGTGGCATAGGGGCTGTTGTAGTGAGAATCTACAAAACACACACACACACACACACACACACACACACACACACACACACACACACACACACACACACACACACACACACACACACGGTCCTAGCAAATGCATACGAATGAAAGGGCCTTTACCCGATTCAGCCCCTGATCGACGAAATCAGCATATTGGGGTCCCTCGCTCAGAGCCCAATTCGTGAAAGCAGATCAAGAGACATGTTCTCTGAGTCAAAGGTCACATCCTGGCTAAAATAAAGACAATGTCAAAGGTCATGGTTGGGCCCTGGACGAACAGTCACCATGTTTAGATTTAGAGGTCACATCTGTTCGCCAGGGGCAATACAAGTCATGTCTACTCAAACAAGGGATGTGTCTGTACGTGCAGTCAATGTGTCTGTACGTACAGTCAATGTGTCTGTTCGTGCAGAAAGAGTGTCTGTTCGTGCATTGGGTGTGTCTGTCCAGCAGAAGTCAAGGAGTTAAGTTCCAGTCCAGATTCGAGACAGAAAGAAAGTCTAGATTCAGATTGGGAGTCCGAAATCAAGGCCTGAAGGCCGCAGCAGCAGCAACCCCTGAAGGAAAGGGATCTGGGACACATACACAGAGGCTGGGACTGGGAAAGGACCGGGACAGGCAGAATTCAGACCTCGCCAGGGGAGGCCAGCACTATAAGAAACGAGGCAGCCTCCCCCACAGGGAGATTCCCATAGGCATTGATGCGTGGAAGTGCTGAGGCACTTGTGCGCTATAGTGCTGGGAGAGGCTCTGGCTGAAGAAGAGCTGCGCCAGGAAGAAGGGAGGCTGGGCGCTGGCTGCAGGAAAGCCATAGCTGCGCCAGTCTATGTTAGTAGTAGAAGGGATAGTTAGTAATGGGATATCAGTGAGTAACATTCAGAGTAGATCTTCGTAGGTGAGAGTGTGCATGCAGAGTGAAGGGAAGAGAACCAAGACAGAGTTCAGGAGAGAGAGAGAGAAGACAGGGAGTGAGTCTGGATATGGTGGACACTTACCTGTTGGCGCCACACTTGTGATCTGAAGGAGAACGCTGGCTGAGCCAGGTTCCACACTGTTGTATGACGAGGGAGACTTACCTCTTGTTGGCGCTGAACTCTGGAACTCATGATACTCTTTGTATTAAGTGACATTGCTAATATAAGCTGCGCTACTTGGTTCTTATCTCATCTCAATCTGTCTTTGTGTGAGACCACTTTGTACGTGTGATGACATGTATGCATGCGGTGTGATGCACTCGAGCAAGCTGTGAACAGTCAGGTTCCTTGCACGAATCAGCATCATTAAGAGAACAAACAAAATATAAGCTGAACATTTGAACAAAATGAACAGGAGTACACCTTCCCCTTTACTCTGCCTCCTTTCGTAACGTACAAGTGTGCTGTTAAGGCACACGGGGATGTGGGGAGCTGGCGCTAAACCACAATCAATGTGGCCAGCCTCTTCGTATGTGAGAGGCACAGTCAAAAGGTAGCTGCAAGAATGAATAAAAGGGGTACCCCAAGAAAGCCAAAGTCAAGATAGTAAGAAAGTGATATAATGGATCTCTATTGTGCCCCATGTTGCTTGCTATAGAAGTGAAATTGTTTCATTGCTGGATTGGCTCATCTCATGTGTGCTTCATTGTCTGCAATAGTGGTAAAGCTGCTTTGATTTCGGATCTAATCACCAGGGTGGAACAGGGGCTATTGTGGTGAAAACCTAAAACACACTCAGATCCTTATGTGGCATGAATCAGTTGTGTTCTTCGAACTTCTTTCTCTTTCTCGAAGTTCCTCCCTCTCTCGTCCCTTTAACTCTGTCATGCCCCTGCATCACATGACAGCTGGATTAGTTGTCTTCACCCGACTACAACATACCGTCATTTTTTCTGCATCCTGGACTCAAAGTTGCCCCAAATACAGCTATAATAACCGTACGTTGTATCAGGGAGAAGACGGTAGTTGTCTTCGTTCTCCTCTCTTCCTCCGCCCCTGGATCCCAATCTCCTCCAATTGTTTCTCTATGTGTCTGTGAACGCACGCCTTGTGTTCACTACAGCTCTAACCGTATGGTAATCTTGGGAAATGTGCCTGTGGTGATTGTTCGCTCCGGGCCTTCTAAAAATAAATGTGAAGGTTGAGAATCCTGGACAGAGTCCGACAGACTATTATGTTTATATTAAAAAGTCATTTTGAGTTTTGGTGTCATTAACCCGCCAGTCTCGTTACCGTTGTGCATCATTCATCCTGACACACTGGTTCCTTTGGTGTTGTGGCTTCTTTCATCGTTGTGGACATGTCAATGCCACCTGTTGCTTTGCCTCTCAGGGTACTCCGCGAGCGGATCGCGAAGAGTTATCCGAATGCCTTTGATGAAGATGTCATTGGGCATATAGAGGACACTAGACCGGATCTCGATCTTCCAAAATGAAGTTGCAGGTAAAAGTTCATAAAAGACAACTGAAGTAGGTGGTGGTGGTGGTGGTGGTGTGTGTGTCTGTGTGAGGCGGAGGGAGGTGGGGTAGACTTTTGAGTTCATTTGTTTACCCTCTTGAAATGAAAAAAGAGGGGGGGGAGGAGAGGTGGAGGGAGGAAAGGGGCATGTTTGTCGTTACCCTGGCTTATGTAAACATGTAGGGATGTACGTAGTTGTTACGAGGGCAGCTTGTTTAAACTTTAAACACCCTTGTTAATGGAAGAATGCAATAGTTTTACGTTTTTTTACCCTTTTTTGAACTTTTTCATATGTAATTTGATTTAAGTAAGAAGGCTACCGTTTTTTTTTTCGTGTTTGGTTAACTCTGGTAGATGTTTTTTTTTTTTTTTTTTTTTTTTTTTTTCCCGACACAACGAGGGATTTGCCCAAGTATTATCTTTCTTGGCATGACTCAACCCCTTTTTCGCGGTATCTTTGGTGAAGTTTCACTGAAAAGTTGTTCTGTGCTGGGGCACAGCGAAGGCACCGAACTTCCGGCGCCCCGTTAACCATCTGTCGAAAGTCCTCATGTGAGTGTGAGTATGGCCTCAATGAATGACACGGAGATGCATTGACTTGTTCTGGAGTAGATCGTAGAAGTGCCTGGACGAAGTGTTGATTCCTCTCCTGAAGCTTAGTGGCCTTGCATTCTGATGTTTACTTAAGAAATATATAAATATATATCGTTCACCCAGAAGAGCCCGAGTCGATCAATTCAATATGTAAATAGCGGATATAGATTAAAGGTATATATATATATATATTTAAAATTTAAAGAGAGTATATATATTTTAAAGAAAGTAGAAAAGATCCGTCTGCATGACGACGAACGACGAATGCAGACAAATCTTTTCTATCCTTTCCATCCCCGCAGCCTGCTTGGGGTATGCTTCGGGTTCACCAGCGGAGACTGTTGGCTTGGGCCTCCTGGCTGGTTGTGGAAGTAAATGGTGCTTTCGAGGCTGCGCCAGGGTGTTAGGAGCTTGGGTACTCCTCCCCGCACAGAGCAGAGATTGGTAGGCATAGGCCCATAACCTTAGGATAGCTTAGCTCTGGCTAGTGAATTTAAGTTCCGTCCCTGCTTTCACAGGGAGGTGGTCTCTTCCTGTTCCGTAGTCAGCTCGGTAGGGCTTGCGGGTGAGGTATAGATACGGGTAGCTAGAGCGAAGTAATAGAGAAGGAAATAGGGTAGGTAAAAAATACCCCTGTCCCCCGTATGACGAGAAGACATAAAAGGGCCTTTACCCGATTCAGACCCTGTTTGACAAATGCAGCATAAAGGGGTCCCTCGCCCAGGGCCCCCAACTCGTGAAAAGCAGATCAACAGGCATGTTCTCTGTGTCAAAGGTCACATCCTAACTAGAGGAAAAGCCAATACTAAAGGTCACAGTTGTGCCCCTGAACGAACAGTTGTAATATTCAGATGTGGGAGTCACATCTGTTCATCCAGGGGGTGTGCAGGTCATGTCTGTTCATACAGGAGATGTGTCTGTCCGTGCAGTATGTGTGTCTGTTCGTGCAGGATGTGTGTCTGTTCAAAGGAAGTCCAAAGGATAAAGTCCCAGTCAAGATTCAAGACAAAGGGAGAGTCTAGATTCAGGCATCAAGTCCAAAATTCAGGCCAGATGGCTGCAGCAGCAGCAGACCCTGAAGGGAAAGTACTGGGACACACACCATGCCGAGGTCTGGGACTGAAGGAGGCCCAAAAGTGCCAATACAGACCTCACGGAGGGAGGCCAGCAGTATAAAGAAGCAGGCCAGCCTCCCTTGAAGACAGATCCCCAGTAGCATTCTGGCGTGGAAGTGCTGAAGGCACTTGTGCGCTGGCTGGCTGGGTGAGCGCTGGCAGGAGAAGCTGCGCTAAGAGAGGAAGAAGGCTGGGCGCTGGTTTGCAAGTAGCAGCCATAGCTGCCCCAACTAGTTAATGTAGTTAGAGGATTAGTAGTTAGTCTTCAGTGAGTGGCATTCAAAGTAGATAGTCGTAGAAGGAGTGTGCATGCATGATGAGAGAAGAGAACTGAGACAGAGATCTTGAGAGAGAGAGAGAGAAGGGGCAGGTGTATGTTGTTGGCTATGGTGGAGACATACCTGTTCTGCGTTTAACCTGTTGTTGAGAGGTGGCGCTGGAAGGGCCAGGCCCCACATTGCAGTTGTATGAGAAGGAAAGACATATCGCATTATTGGTTCTTGAACTCGAGATACTCTTATCATGTGTTGGAGATAATATAAGCTGCGCATCTTGGTTCACATCTCATCTCTACTTTGTGCTGTGTGATGGGTCATAATCTGTGTGATTGGTAACGAGGCATGCATTGTGATACACTCTGGCAAGTTGTGGACCGTCAGGTTCCTTGCAGACAGGTGTACGCCTTCTTAAAAAAAAGAAGAAGAAAAAAAAAGTCTGCTGAAGCTGTACTCTAGGGATGTGACTGCTATCACGATGGTCGATTCGAAGCCATGTGCCCAGTACTCGTCTGGAAGAGTGAGGGCATACACACACTAGGACTTTTGTGAGTGAGCTCTGCACGTGATTACAGTCAGATTCATCCAGGTCTGGTCGCAATTCAAGTCAGATACATTTGGGAAAGTGCTACTGTGAGTATGCCCTGAACTTCTCACACTTTTTTTCCCCCCGATTCCCCATGGGTGATCCTAACTGGTATTGCGAAGTGGCGATCTCATTCCCATTCATGTCTTTCAGGAACCGAAGAGACACGAAACCAGATTGCTGAGAAATCCCACACGGATTCAAGTAAATGGGGTGTTAGCTCCGGAGATTTCCCTACAGCGATCGGTTCGTCAAGGGGACCTTTTGGACCCCTTCCTGTTCATAATAGTGATGGAAGCGCTGGCTGCGAACCTTCGGGCTAACAAGGACATTAAGAAACTCCGGATTTCCTCCATCCCCGAGGAAGCGATCCCGGTTTGCTCTATGTTCGCAGACGACTTGACAGTTATAGCGGATGCTTCCCCCGAGAATATGGAAGTGATCAGGAGGCTGATGGACCGGTTTACGGCAGTGTCCAACATGACAATTAGCTGGGGAAGCAAGACACTAGGATGGTGGATACATCATCAAGGCGTACACCCCCCCGAGTTACCGCGGGTCGAATGGCTACCGGAAACAGCCCGGATTAGAGTATTGGGCATCATGATGACAGCCTTGGGCAAACCGGCCTCTAATGATGATTCCATTTTGCAACCTGCGCTTGAAAAGATGCTCAGTGGAATTATAAATACACCTCGCTGTTCGGCAGAGCATTGGCCGTTAACAATGCTGTTCTGGCTTCCCTCTGGTATAGGTCAGCAATATGGGCTTTAAGCAAAGAAGCAGTTCGAGCCTTGAAGAGGCAGGTGTCGGCACTGTTATGGAGGGGGGATAGTACTCCTTAACATCATTAATAGAGTGGCATGGTCGGCAGTTACTCGACCCAAAGATAAAGGAGGGCTAGGACCCCAATGGATCAAGAGGCTTATATTTACCTTCATATTTTCGTGGCGTGCTATGGCCTTGGAACAAATTTCACGATTGGTCCCCCAGTCCCCCCAGGAGGTGGATCCCCTGTCCTGGTTAGAGGACCGCTTTTGGACTATTCCTTGACACTCCAGCATTCAAGGGGAATCGGACCGTAGGGTTGCCAGAATGGGCTTGACCAAAGATGATTTTTGGGTTAAAGGCCTTCGAGCATGGCGCCAACTCCCGCTGTCGGACAAAGGGACGCCGAACAGATGGGAGGAGGTGGCGAGACAGCCGCTCTTTGGCAACACGAGTGTCACCAACCAAAATAGGAGGATATAATGTAGCTCTCCCCCCACGTGGAATTGCTGGGTAAAGAAAGGTGTCATGAGAACCCGGGATATATGGGATGGACAAAGGAATTGGAAAACAACAAAGCAATTGAGGCCTGGTTTGAAAAATCGTCACCACATTGAAAAGAACCTGGATCAATTAATTTTCTCTATTCCCTTTGACTAGGTGCGCATCTTACGCAAGGGGCCGCGATTCCAGAAAGGGGATTGGGTAGCAATGGTGGGGGACAGAGAGAATCCAGGTAGGGTGGTAGAAGTGGGCGTGGGGGATGTGTGGGTGACCCTCTTTCATCGGGAAACGGATCTCGGCTTACAAGGTATCCACAAAACGAGAGGGGACGGTGGCAGGTGGACACGTACAGAATCAGGGTATTCAGAGAACAAGAAGAATGGGTAGCATTCCTCCCCGAAACCCCACTCGTCAAGCTCCCCTTTGACCCTGCAGAATGGCAATGGCACCCGTCAGGCAGGACGAGGCCGGGAGCAAGTAAGAAATTATTTGCCCCGTCTGTGAAAGCCACATACCAGCTTCTCAGGCCCCGAGTTGATCTTAAGAGTGTTGTGAGGGAGAGATGGATGTCCCACCTGAATGTAGGGAGGGACAACGTTCGCCCCATCTGATGGTTCATCGCCGCAAGAGCCAGATTGGCGAAGATGGCCTCCTTGGAATGGCAGATAGAGCACCGTTGCCTCCCTACGAACGACTGGTTGATCGATCAAGCATACTTGGAACAAAAGGGATTGGCAACGCCGTTGTGCATTTCCTGTCTGACTGCCTTCCCTGCCCACAAGATCCCCGAGACTATAGAGCATATTTTCTCACAATGCCCAGGGGCCGTTCTTATTTGGTATTGGTGGGATAGAATCCGGGGGCCGCTTGGCACGGAGTCTGTGTGGCCATGGGACTGCAGAGCGCTCTTGTGTGGATCATGGCTCTCCCACACGAATAGCACTTTTGAAGAGAACATGTTTAAGGTGGGGAGGAGAGCAATTATCTGGGCCCTCTGGAGGAAAAGGTGTGTATTAACCATTGAAAAAGTAAGACTGGAGGGCGTGGAACTGTCTGATCTAATCAAGCAATGTATTCAGGAAGAACTTACCATACAATTGCAGGCAGTGAGATTTAAATTGGACCTATTTCACACCGAAAAGGATGTAACACTGGCTATCAAGCAATCCTCCAGGGACTGGTTGGGGAATGAACAGGGAGGTTGGATGGCTTACGTTCGCTGGGCGGGTGGCAGGATCCCGGAAGGTGGGGAAGAGGGCTTGAAACGAGACTATACTATCTGCTTGAAGGATTGGACCAAGGTGGATGCAGCGATTCCGTTACGACGCCCCTCGAAGTTCCGGACCTCTTCCCACCTCATGGTCTTTCAATGCTGGATCTTCAGTGGTACGGTGCAGAGTGAGTGTGAGGGCTGCATCCGAAAGGAAGGATGGGAGCTAGACAGTCACGTAGAGCAGGCACCCTGCAGCAGGGCTGAAGAGGCCCCTTTTTCCTCCTTTCTTGGGTACTCAACTACCTGCGCAGTAAATCCCCTGTGTTTGCGGCAATCAATGCTGGCAGGCGGTTAGGAAAACTCAGATGGATTGGAATTTGGAACGGCTATTGTTTATGGGACGCTGGACCCGATTTCCAGCAGGTGTTGCTCCCCACCAATAGATGGAGCGTTCTCGGGGGAGCTAGAGGCGTCTGCTCATACCAGTGCCCCTAGCTCCCACTCGGGCAGCTTTCCCCCACCAAAAAAAAATAATAATAAAAAAAAGATTGGTGAGAAAGCAAAAGGAGGCAGGCAAGGGAGGAACGGATTGGAAAGAGAGAGAGAGAGAGAGAAAGGTGGACTAGGAAACACATAGAGAGCGTTCCAGCATTTCATTGTCAGCCTGTAAGTCAATGCGACTGCCACACTGGGTTTCAAAGGAAATTGGACTGGTGCCAGAATCCTGGTATATCCTCTTTATTCTTGCATCTCTCTGGATCTGAACTCAGGATCACTTGGTCTAGCTGCATGCGTTCACCATTCCACCACAAGGCTCCAATAGCGAGTGCTGTTGGAGGCCGGGCCCTTTCTCTGAGTGAGCGCATGCGCGTACGTGTGTGTATATGTTTCGTGGGGGGGAGGGAGAGGGGGAGATAGATAGATAGATAGATAGATAGATAGATAGAGAGAGAGAGAGAGAGAG